ATAGCATTGTGTCTCGACAGCAACAATTTGTGTATTGACAGTAGCAATGTGTCTAGACAGCAACAATTTGTGTATTGACAGTAGCAATGTGTCTAGATAGTAACAATTTGTGTATTGACAGTAGTAATGTGTCTAGACTAGCAATTTGTGTATTGACAATAGTAATGTGTCTAGACTAGCAATTTGTGTATTGACAGTAGCAATGTGTCTAGATAGTAACAATTTGTGTATTGACAATAGCAATGTGTCTCGACAGCAACAATTTGTGTATTGACAGTAGCAATGTGTCTAGACAGCAACAATTTGTGTATTGACAGTAGCAATGTGTCTAGATAGTAACAATTTGTGTATTGACAGTAGTAATGTGTCTAGATAGTAACAATTTGTGTATTGACAGTAGTAATGTGTCTAGATAGTAACAATTTGTGTATTGACAGTAGCAATGTGTCTAGATAGTAACAATTTGTGTATTGACAGTAGTAATGTGTCTAGATAGTAACAATTTGTGTATTGACAGTAGTAATGTGTCTAGATAGTAACAATTTGTGTATTGACAGTAGCAATGTGTCTAGACTAGCAATTTGTGTATTGACAGTAGCAATGTGTCTAGATAGTAACAATTTGTGTATTGACAGTAGTAATGTGTCTAGACTAGCAATTTGTGTATTGACAATAGCAATGTGTCTAGATAGTAACAATTTGTGTATTGACAGTAGCATTGTGTCTAGATAGTAACAATTTGTGTATTGACAATAGCAATGTGTCTAGATAGTAACAATTTGTGTATTGACAGTAGCAATGTGTCTAGATAGTAACAATTTGTGTATTGACAGTAGTAATGTGTCTAGATAGTAACAATTTGTGTATTGACAGTAGCAATGTGTCTAGACTAGCAATTTGTGTATTGACAGTAGCAATGTGTCTAGATAGTAACAATTTGTGTATTGACAGTAGTAATGTGTCTAGACTAGCAATTTGTGTATTGACAATAGCAATGTGTCTAGATAGTAACAATTTGTGTATTGACAGTAGCATTGTGTCTAGATAGTAACAATTTGTGTATTGACAGTAGTAATGTGTCTAGACTAGCAATTTGTGTATTGACAGTAGCAATGTGTCTAGATAGTAACAATTTGTGTATTGACAGTAGCAATGTGTCTAGATAGTAACAATTTGTGTATTGACAGTAGTAATGTGTCTAGATAGTAACAATTTGTGTATTGACAGTAGCAACGTGTCTAGACTAGCAATTTGTGTATTGACAGTAGCAATGTGTCTAGATAGTAACAATTTGTGTATTGACAGTAGTAATGTGTCTAAACTAGCAATTTGTGTCTTGACAGTAGTAATGTGTCTATACAATTGCTATTTGTATCTCGACAGTAGCATATTGTGTTGACGACAGTACCAATCAGTGATTTAATAGTAGCAATATGTGTTTTGACTATACAGTAACAAGTTGTCACCTTACAGTAGCAACATGTGTTTGACAGTAACAAAATTTGTTTTCAAAGCAATTTGTATCTTGACAGTAGCAATGAGTTGCAATCTGTCTTGAAAATAACAATGTGTTTTTACAGTAGCCACATGTCTTCACAGTAGCCATAACCGAGTTTCCACTGAGAATTCTAAAGCTAGCTCTAAGCGTTCCCGAAGACTTTAGCCTCCATCACAAAGTCGCACATTATTGACAACTCATGATGTATCCGACTACTGCTTAGACCAGTCAGAAATTCAATAGAGCGGAAAGACCAAGACCGTACCCTATTGCCGAACGAGATAAAGCTGGCCTTTTGCGTTTCCACTGGTTAAGCCGGCATTAAGCTACCTTTCAGTTGGCATCCAATTAATTGCTGAAAACAAAAAGAGAGGTTTTCGGTTCGGCAATTTGCCCAATGAAAACACACAAAAGCTAGCTTAAAGCTGTCTTTTTCCTTTGGTGGAAACACAGTTACTGACCAAGAAGAAATGCTTAATAGTCACTAGTTATATAATCAGTATGTACAGATAGAAATCAGGATTTAAAACAGCAGAACAGTTAATTACAACTTATTGTTCCTTTAAGCATGAATGACTATTTTCTGATTAATATAAGATTGAAAAGAAGGTTATAAGCTATAATAGCCATTGGCTGTATAATAAGCTTATATTCCTACACAACATATATTTAGACATAAACACAAGAATTCTGGCCACTATCAACACAAGTTGTTCTAATCCTTTACCCAATAACAACATTTTTCACTACCAGGTCATTGAACATGGAAGAAAGATCAAATTAATCTAGCTTAAAGACAGACAGAAATTAATTAGTAGATAGCAATTATTAGTCACTAGCAGAGACCATGCAATATCCCCCTTGAGACAATGATCAATATGCGTGAAGTAAATGAATGAATAAATGAATGAATTAATGAATGACATAAAAGATAAGCTCATTCATGAGTGTAACTTGTATGTGTATGACACCATATTACAATACCTATATAACTCAACTGACTCTATACAATTGTACTATACAAAATAACATTAAAGGAACAATAGCTGTATGATTACTGGACTAAATGGTTTTAATCTAAATATTTAAACACAACCTTGTTGTCTAAATGTTTGTGAATGAATGAACAATACAATTTAGAATATATAAACGATAAGAATATAAGCACTGATAATTCTATTGATCAAATCAATGCATAGACGTGCACTGAATGCTTCCACAGATCTTTTTGGGAAAACCATGTATTTCCGCTTTACTCATTATTATAGGGATATCAAAGAGGTTTTCTCAAAAAAAATTATGTGTATCGGGGACACTGATGAAATCAATTTACACTATTTAAATTTGCAATCAGTTGTCTGTGGTTTCTGTGCAATAGAGACATTATAAAACGCCTAGTTTAATTAGAATTGTAGGAACCACAGGCGTCTGATTGAAAATTGGAATGGTACAAATTGATACTATATCAGTTGTCTAATACACATAAAAATCCCTTTAAATTGGAAATCTACAGTTTGCGAAACATCCCGATTTGCATTTGAATCAGATTGAGACTTTGCTGGCCTTGATAAATAAAAAAAATTGTTTTTAATATAAAATTCATCACAAAGTCAACAGATTTAGAAATGGAATAATTCTAATATTTTGGTCCATGTTTTCTGACAGAATATGTCTTTACCTTATTTACATTACAAAATTTATCTATTCTCAGAATAGTTATCAGAACGGTTCTCAAAACGAAATGGATGAATTTTGTGTAATGTAAATGGTCGAGCGTTCTGAGAACTGTTCCAGTTCTGGCCTGTACAGAACGGTTCTCAGAACGGACTCAATAAATTGGTTTAATGTAAACGATAAATGAGAACGCTTTACTACACACGCCTAACAAGCGACCTTCACCTTTTACCATGGATTTTTGTCAATATTCAGTGAAATTGTTGATTACAGCCAGATGTCTTCGATTACATCACAGTGACTACCAGGGTTAATTTTAACTTCTTCACGAAGAGTTCCACAGATAACCATGCAGAGAAGGCTTACTACAACTGAACAACCGTTCTAGGATCACTTGAGTTTACTGTTATGTAAATGGGCACAGAATGGAACGGTTTATAGCGGCCTAGTGTAAAAGGAGCTATATGAGAGACTTATTCTGGTCTTTTTTTCAAAGACAAATTTTCTGTGAATCAATTTACATGCATTATGATTATGTATACATATATATATATATATATATATTTGAAGTATGATGTAAATGATATCTATAAATACTGATATGCCATTATTAGCATTAAATGGTTTATGTTTTGGTATTTCATTATGTCTGTTTTTTAACATTCTTATAATGCTTTATGTTTTGTGTCTGCTGTGAGCAAAAATTGTAACGGGAAGTATGCACAAGCCTCACAATACCAAGAATTGTTTTTATGTCTTCCTTTGATATACAGAAACCAATTTTCATTAAAGAAATTGTAAAGAGGTTTTCTACAGATATATGTATATCTGATAGCAATTTTCAATCGTAGTTCTTGCAATTACACTAAAATTATAGATACACAAAAAGATTTTGTTTCACAATACAGGTTTTATCTTTAGATGATTATTGATATATCAGAAGAATGTTGACTCTTATATTTTAAACTATTTCAGTTGAAGAAATGATAATACCACAGATAATATTACAGAGACATCCTTAGTTAACATATCTAATTATCTTAACCTTTAACTGGCACCTTGTTTTATCATAAATCTTTACTTTGTGACCTAGGCCACTGCTTTCATGAGGCTATGTTCGCATCACCATCGAACACTATAGATGCATTTGATGTCGCATACAACGTTTTTGTGAAAATGACGTCATAATTATAAGAGCCACAGATGTCTGACTGAAAATTGAAATGTTGATATCAGTGTCCCTTACACATAAAAAACCTCTTTACAATCCATCTAATTTTCAAAATTTTTTTTACCGTAATATCTTCAATTCTAATGCTGCCTTAGGACTATTATAATATTATTCTGTGTTTTTTTTAAAAATAAAATTTCTAATCATGTTAACAGTTGTTAACAGTATATAAAATAAAGCTTTAATCAATATTAACTGCTGGTAAGATACATGAATTGCAAGTTTTTTTTATGTTAATTTTAATTAAAAAGAACTAATGTCATACAGTACAAATTCCAGGTAACAAAGTGCAATTTTTTTAAATTTACAGCAGATTTTTTTGCTACATATTATGATATATTTTTAAATTGTGCATGATAGCTTTTCATAAAATTATATAGAGTTGGTCTTTGCCCAGGCTTATTAGAGGTGCTACAATATAAAAAAAAATGGGATTTTTTCCATTCATCAAAATCTCATCCAAAGCCCTGCAAAATCAGGAGCAGTAGTTGTATAGTAGTGGACTTCCCTAAGTACATGTTTTGATGAGAGTAAGTATGGTCTGCTTCTCATGCGTGCGACACCCACCACTACTATATAGGTAAAAATCCACTCACCTTCAGTAGGCTCCCCTTCCTCTACTTCATATTGATCTTTAATAAATTCCAAAGTACACTCTGAGATATGAACTCTGCCAGGTTCTCCTGTTGATTCCATGATATTAGCAAGGGTCACATCATTGGACCATACATCAAACTTAAAACGACATTTTCCTACCAGGCCACATAAAACTGTTCCAGTATGGACACCAACTCTCATGTTGACCGATTCATTATTGTCCTCATCAAACTGTTTAATAGCTTTAATCATGGCAATACCCATTTCTACACAGCAATGTGCATGTTCTTTTTTTTGTTCGGGGCATCCAGACACACAGTAATAACAATCTCCAAGAGTTGTAATTTTCTCACAGCCAGTATCAACACATAACTTGTCGAATCGGCCAAACAAATCGTTGAGTAGTCCTACAAGTTTTTCGGCAGTTTTATTAGAGCTCATCTTAGTAAATCCAACAATATCCGCAAATAGAATACTGACATTTTCCATCTTGCTCATATTGAAATTACGAAAGATGATTTCACCCCGAGCTGGTTTACTATCTTTCTTATCTTGTTGCTGATCAGCATCTTTATCTTTATCTTCTTCCTTGTCTTCTCGAGCTCGCATGGCTTCCGCAGCCACCGACGGAGGCATAAGAGAATGAATCATCTTTTCTTTAATACGTTTCTCTAAAACCAAGTCCCTCCTGACGATCAAAGACTGTCCAATTTTCCAAAATGTGCTGCGACATCTGACTTGTGACATTATAAAAATATGGATGCCAACAATATGCATACTTATATGCAACAAAATTTTACAAATGATAAAATCATAATGAAACATTTCGCTTATGTATACAGCGGTCAAAATTTCATATAAAATAGAGTAAACACCTCCAACTAGGACAGCAACAAATAAAGGCAATGGAATAAAAGTATACATAAGGAATAAAAATTCCGCGGAGGCACAGAACGTACCAACGGTGGACACATTCGGAGAATCTAAGAAAAATCCAGCTAATATCAGCAAAGCAACGATAAGCACAAATATGACAGATATTATCAAATATGTGGAACCATATTTCTTAGTCTTTGTAAACACCAGAAACAAAATAGAAATAACAGCCAAAATGGCAGCGATTCCGATCTGCCAAGTGACTTTTTGCATTAATCCGAAAAATATGCACCATGAAATACATGCCACAACAACATACAACAAGACATACTGGAAACGTCGTTGGGTTTGTGGAAAATAACACTTGGACAGCTGGTCTTCCAGTTTCTTCGAGTCAAATTTAGGATTCCACCAGCTTCCAGAAGCTCTCTCAAACAAAACTGGACCCTTCTTCTGTTTATTTAGTGGGGTACTAGTGTACCGGTTCTTAGCTGGTGATTTTATATCCACTTGGACAACTTCAGGGTCGTCAGATTTATTATACACAGCCACATTAGGTTCTTGAACTCCCTGACTCGCCATTTTGAAGAATGTACCAGGAACTACGACAATGTTTAAAATTTCCGCCTAGAGTCTCTAACACATTGAAATCTTTGCCATAACATGCCTTACACTTACAGATTTCAACTTACGATCTCCATAGAAATGCACTTGTTTTCTACACTGATTTTTCGGCAGTCACTCTATCCATTGCATACTATCCACAAGGCATGATATATACTCTAAGAATTAACTGATTGGAATAACAGGCAGACTATAATCATACTTCCTTCTAACTAAGCGCAGCCATACCAACTCGCGTCTAGCAGAACTGAAGTCTCACTGTACAATATTTAGTACGAATTGTAGTCGAGCTTTTCTCCACTTGCGGCCTGCATTAATGTTTGAGCTGTTCCGTTGCCCTCCTACGGAATAAGAAAATTAACGGTACACTGCTGTTCTATCAGCTAGGGTTATTCCCCTGTACATTGAACTGTGTGTAATATGTCTAGGGGAATATAATAAAAGGTTTCTTATTATTTCATAGATTGAGTTGTTTTTCTGCTCGTGTTATCCACCATAACATAATAAGATAATATTACTTTGTGATATAATCTAATACTATTGCGTAATATCTGACTTAGAATAAATCGAATATAGGAATAAACATTAATCAGTTGCTCTATGAGAGTATATGAAATGAAACGGTTCACAAACAAGGTTCAATAAACTATAAATTGACAGAGTATCATAAATACAATTATTTAAAAACAATTATTAAAGGAGACAATCGGAATAAAACAGGGGTATCTCTAATACAGTTCTTGCTCATGATTTGTCAACGTAAAATATCAATGCAAAATTTCAAAATTATAAAGTAACGAGCCTATGAATTAGGACAAATTGATTGTAAAGGGATATACCCTAATAATTATCTCAATATTAGTTTTATGATAGACCACATACAGAAATAAAGTCTTTTAAATACTTTTTATTTATTAGATTGTTCGATATTAATTCTGAAAATTGACAGTTTGGAAGAAAAAAAAATATCTGAACGATTCCCTTTAGGGTCAGGTATACTGTATCAATTTTTATAATGGAATTCCCTAAAGCCTACAGATGTTATGGATGAAATAACAATATGAACAATAACAAGCAGTACAAACCTATATGAGAAATAACAGACATAACAGCATGAGAAAGGACAAGCAGATAAAAAAAACAACGAGACATCTAGACAAAACAACATGAGATATAACAAGTAACCAAATTTATAACTAATTACATGAAATATAACAAGAGACACATAACAAATTATACCAAGGTGAGACATAACAAACAGCATGCAACATATAACAACATGAAAAAGTACATGATAATAACAAGACATCAGCATTAGAAATAACAAGACATCAGCATTAGAAATAACAAGACATCAGCATGGGAAATAAAAAGACAAATCAACATTGGAAATAACCAGACATCAGCATCTTAAAGAATAATTAGAAGGGAAATAACAATATATATTAGTATTACAAATAACAAGGCATATTAACAAGACATATCAACAAGGGCAATAACAATATATATTAGTATGACAAGTAACAAGGCATATTAAAAAGACATATCAACAAGGGAAATAACAATATATATTAGTATGACAAGTAACAAGGCATATTAACAAGACATATCAACAAGGGAAATAACAATATATATTAGTATGACAAGTAACACGACATATTAAAAAGACATATCAACAAGGGAAATAACAATATATATTAGTATGACAAGTAACAAGGCATATTAACAAGACATATCAAACAAGGGAAATAACAATATATATTATTATGACAAGTAACAAGGCATATTAAAAAGACATATCAACAAGGGAAATAACAATATATATTAGTATGACAAGTAACACGACATATTAAAAAGACATATCAACAAGGGAAATAACAATATATATTAGTATGACAAGTAACACGACATATTAAAAAGACATATCAACAAGGGAAATAACAATATATATTAGTATGACAAGTAACAAGACATATTAAAAAGACATATCAACAAGGGAAATAACAATATATATTAGTATGACAAGTAACAAGGCATATTAAAAAGACATATCAACAAGGGAAATAACAATATATATTAGTATGACAAGTAACACGACATATTAAAAAGACATATCAACAAGGGAAATAACAATATATATTATTATGACAAGTAACAAGGCATATTAAAAAGACATATCAACAAGGGAAATAACAATATATATTAGTATGACAAGTAACAAGACATATCAATATAGGAAATAACAATATATATTAGTATGACAAGTAACAAGGCATATTAAAAAGACATATCAACAAGGGAAATAACAATATATATTAGTATGACAAGTAACAAGGCATATTAAAAAGACATATCAACAAGGGAAATAACAATATATATTAGTATTACAAATAACAAGGCATATTAACAAGACATATCAACAAGGGAAATAACAATATATATTAGTATGACAAATAACAAGGCATATTAAAAAGACATATCAACAAGGGAAATAACAATATATATTAGTATGACAAGTAACAAGACATATCAATATAGGAAATAACAAGACATCAACATGATAAATAACAAGACACATTAACGTGATAACAAGACATATCAATATGATAAATAACGAGACATATCAACATGAAAAAAATAATAAGACATCTCAACTTGATAAATAACAAGACATATCAACATAAGAAAAAACAAAACATATCAACATAAGAAATAACAAAACATATCAACATAAGAAATAACAAAACATATCAACATAAGAAATAACAAGACATATCAACATAAGAAATAACAAGGCATATCAACATGAGAAATAAAGAGAAATATTAAATAACAAAATATGAGAAATAACTAGACACATCAGCATAAGAAAGAACAAGATATATCAACATGAGAAATAACTAGACACATCAGCATGAGAAAGAACAAGATATATCAACATGAGAAATAAGGAGAAATATCAAATAACAAAACATGAGAAAGAACAAGACATATCAACATGAGAAAGAACAAGACATTTCAACATAGGCAATAACAAGACATATCAACATGGAGAAGTTATACAGCTATCAAATATAACATGCAGTCTATATTGGCTGTCTCACATGATAGATGACAATAATCCCGATTGTTACTCTGTCTAATATCATAACATTAGATGGTTTATGAACGAGAAACGGGAATTAGATGTAAATATTGCTGATTGCTGGATAGTTTAATATTGTCAGCAGAGCTAGATGTTCTTTCATTAACCTACCGATTAAATGACTGGGGTTTTTAAGTAAAATCTCAGTTCAACTGCTGTCTAATCCCTGGGAGGACCGACTACTATGAGAAAAAAGAGCCACAGTTCCCGCCATTTAATATTAAATTTTGTACAACCTGAGCGATTGGAATCTGAGACCATTACATTTATCGAAGATATAATACCAATGGTCATTTTCCATTTTCTCGATATGAAATGAAATTAGGCTACCGAACCCTCGCAGTACCTTTAAAAATGGAGATCTATGTGATAGAGTTACGATTGTCAGTTAATCGGATCGGAAACATCGTAACTTCCAACTAATTTTCAATGAACAGTATTAGGAACACTGATTGGTTGGTGTCATTGCAGTGATATACTATCGATCAAACCAGATTTCTGGAAGCTAACAAGATACGACAATCGTAAGCTTTCATCTTATTAAATGAATCTTTTCTAGGTTGAAGGGATAGAGCCATCTAATTATCAAGTTACTATATCAAACTCATCTTATTGAATGAAGAACGAATGTAGGCCTACGCACAACAATCTCATTTGTTTGAGCGAACTTACCTCATTGTAGACTTATTCCTCCAGTTCCGAGCATATAAAAGTTTCCCCCATTTCAGACCCATAGCCATACTTGATTGTTTGGAAGGGCAAGTGCCAGCCTATACCAATGGGCAATGGTGTGTGATGTCTAGTAACAATACTGGGATTAGTCGATTGCCAACCCTCTTGTCTCCTGTAGCAACGGGCCTAACAGCGCGCCCCATTTCCAAAACCAGCTATCCAGGTGATAATGTTATATTATCTGATACACGTGTCGGCATCCACGATAATGCCATTACAAATGAATATCAGGGATGACTTGCAATGGGTACAGATCAAACCACCGCCGTCCATTAATAAATGCGACAAAACCATATGTTTATCTATATGTATATTGTAATATTTGTAATTCTTGAATAAATATTGTTTAAAAAAAAATAAAAATAAATAAATGCGATCTATGGAAGTGTCACAGGTGCTTTTGTGGAAACTACCAAGAACTATGGGATGGTTATGGATATGTAGCTGACATAGATTAATGACTCTATTCTATAATTGTTAACAAATGCTGATAAGGCCTATTTTGGAAGAAAATCGATTGTAATTATGACGTGCTGTAGAGTTCATCATCGGAAAGATGCCTACATTCCAGGGATAACCGTTTATATAAAAAATGTAATTAAGCATTCCCTAATGGCAACTATTTTAGTTTTCTTGTTCATATATAATTAGAATCATAATAGTCGATAAATTGAGCGGAACCGAGCTTTTAATAATTAATGTAAAAAGGAAATTACAGATCGACGAGAAATGGAACTAAAATAACCATAATAAGATGACAATATATTTTGTTAACACCGTGGTCTGACGATAATGTATGTCTTTATGACAGCTATGCTTTTATTTTATATGAAACAACAATTACATTAGGTAAATATGGATAGTGTAGAAAAAGGGGAATTTTGAATGATATTATTTTGAAAGAATGAAAGGCGGAAACTGATATCCGGTTATCCGAACGAAGGTAAAACTCGTATACCATAAC